AACCTGGTTCTAGTTCTTCTCTGCAAAGAGCGTCTACTGCTAATATTACCAGTGGTTATATCCGCTGTGTAAATTGTAATATAAATATTTCAAGAATGCGAAGACACTCATTGGAAATTGCTGAAGTCCGATCCCTTATACAGAGATGGGTTGGACAGCTGCAGGTAAATAACTACCTACATACAAAAACCTGCAAATAGCTTTATACAACTTAACATAATCTAAACCCATATTTACTTTTATAGCAAGTTTCGAGTGATAGTTTGGTGTGTCATACATGTTGGACCAATGCATGGAATGAAATCAGGATGCCAACCAGTCAACGGTCGACTGAGCCTCTCGTTGGCCACATTCTTGTATGCATCAGCTGTGGAACTTCGCTTTTAAGGCAAAGGTCACATAGCCTTAACATTGATACACCACATTGTGAACAAATAAGGAATATTATTACCCATCAAATTGCACCACGAGAGGTAAGATAATATACATACAATATTATTGTTAGGAATATACTTTGTAAAGAGAGTATTAAGAGTGGTTACAATCAGACTTTAAATAAATAGCTGTAATGTGTCTTAGACTATGTGTGAGATAAAGTGTCTATCCAGGTAGTTGAACTATAACTATATTGTAATGTTCTAAGAATATAGAATAATAACATCTCACATATGGCTGGCTGGTTCCAAACTATGCAGAGCCTCTATGGTGGTAACCAGACTGCTGATAAACATACTTAAATATTATTTTAAACATACATAAATTATAAATTAAAATCTTCTCACTCAGCAGAGTGGTCATGGTCATTGGTCTGGCCGGTAACTCACCTCACTATCTGTTGCCACTCCTTGCATATTGATTCATTTCTACCACACTCTCTCATTCAAATAAAAGTACCTACATGGGATAGAATTCTTTGTCGAATCATGGTCTGAGGATTGTTGTTTTGCCATTTTAAGGGAAAAAACATATCAGTTGCCTTTTTTCTTTGACAGTTGCCAAGATCAGCCCATCTTTGTCATAACTGTTGGCGAAGGACTGAAAGAGCAGCTGCTCGCTTTACTTCAGATGGGGAATCAGCAGTGTCAAGTCTCCCATCATTTAACATTGAATCTTCTCAAGTACAAGCTGAAGGAAGAAATACAACTCCATCTCATGGCTTGCAGTTGCCTAACTATATCAGAGCTCCTAGCACACAGCGACATTGTTTTTTTCCTGGATGTAATGCGTCTGACCGGCTTTTAGTACCATCCTCACTGAGAGTAAGTTTACTTTGTGACTACAATTATTATGTGCCTGCAGATTGCAGAATATGTTCAATGCACTTGAGAAGCAATTCATGGGATTTACTTCTGGATTCAATTTATGATCCTATCAGGACATTCAGTGCTGAACAAATGGAAGAACTTATTTCTTTGTTAAAAGATAACATGTTAATGCATTTAGATTTTGACAATATCTTAAGTATGCCAGATCATATTGTTCACTATTACTTGGGCTTTTCAAAAGAACAATTCCAGCAAATCCTTTCGGAAGTCCCGAGGTTATTAAATAGCCATAGGGGAGCTTATGCTCTGGCAGCATATTTATTGAAATTGCGGACAGGAGATAGTAATGAACGAATTTCATCATTATTGCAAATACCAAGGAGTACACTAGAAGGTCTAATGAAGATGGCTAGAGAATTATTGTATCAAGATTTTGTTCCCAGAAATCTGGGCTTGAATCACATAACTAGAGCAGAAATTGCTCAAAGGAATCTGCTGATTCCCAATGCTTTGTATGGGGGCCCAGAGAGAACACCAATTATAATAGCTGATGGTACATACATATATATAGAAAAAAGTTCTAATTACTTGTATCAAAAACAAACATATTCATTGCATAAATACCGTAATCTGGTTAAGCCATTTTTATTTGTATGCAGTGATGGTTATATCATTGACGTACTGGGCCCCTATCCTGCTACAACCACAGATGCAGACATTATGAAACAAGAGTTTGGAAGTGAAAGTAGTTCTTGCCGTCAATATTTTGAACCTGGGGATGTATTTATTCTCGACAGGGGTTTTAGAGACTCATTACCGCTCCTAAGGAGTTGTGGCTATAATGTCCATATACCATTATCCCCAACAGATGGTGAACCACAATTGACAACTAGAGAAGCAAATAAATCAAGAGCTGTTACTTTATGTCGATGGGTGGTGGAAGTGGTGAATGGAATATTTAAAACTAAGTTTAAAATATTTAGGCAAACCTTTTTCAACAGAGCTTCCAAGCATCTAATGATAGATTTCTCTGTGGCTGCTGCTCTTATAAATAAATATCACACCAGATTACGAGACAGAGACGATGCCACTGAAATAATTGAAATTGTGAACAGGAATATGAACAGAAACAATGACCTTTCAGATTATGTTAGGGATCATAATCTCAATAGAGCTAGATCAGATTTCCAAAATATTAATGTTGACAGGGAAAATATAAGGGACTTTCCAAGACTAACTAATAATGAGCTAATACTGATTGCCTGTGGGATATATCAGTTGAAACAAGCTCGTTCTTATTACGGAGAGCATATAAGGACCAACGGGTCATACCAAATAGAAGTCTCTAGAGACTCTAGGAATAGAATAATGGAAGAACTAATTTTTGGCTCGAATTGTTACCTAATTAGAGCAAGAATTGCAAGTCGACACATCAGTCGCAAAATATACTTCATATATATACTAATTACCAATATGGAAACTGGTCGCGAGGCTATCAAACAATACTGCTGCAATTGCATTGTTGGCCGTCGTACAGTAGGATGCTGTGCTCATGTCATGACAGTGCTATGGTATTTGGGGTGGGCACGGCATCAAGGTAATATTTTTCCTCCTGCTCAATTTTTGGATGATGTTTTAGTAGTGTATGATGAATGAAGGTTTAACTATTTAAATTGAGTTTCATTTTTAACCATCTAAGATCATAAAAGAGCAGGAAATGTATACCAACCCGTTTGGCCATACTATACTATACCATAGTAGGCTAAATTCTTCTTCCACCACTGGAGGAGGCCCATGCAGTAGTTGGAGATTTATGGACTGACATGGATGGATGGATTATAAATACAATATTAACTAGATATATTTATACAGGAATTGTTTCCAAGAACTTTATTGCACTTGTGTAAGCGCACATTTAAAAAAATAAAAACCTTGACATTTATGAAACCCCAAGTTTTGTGTTAACTTTTCTTTTGTGAGTAAATTATTTATCTGTCAAAGAAATATTTGCACCCATTTTCACATATGGGCATTCAGGGCCTAAAGCACTATGGTGGCCTGGCATCCCCCTTTACATGCAAACTTCAGAAACGGGCCTTATAGCATCACATAGCGTGTGTGTGTAAATAATATACTGCGGGTCTTATATTTTAATAAACATAGGGATTATCATGCAATGTGCACATAGATTGCACTTTATGCAGAGTCGTTTGTTTAAGTGTCTTCAGGGAGGTACTTACAGTTTTTTGTTACGAGTAGTTATAGATATTTAGTAATTTGACATGACGTCAGAAATTTCCGTATTTTGCGGTTGTTTCACAAATTCTTCCATAAATATTTTTTAATTATGATAGTTTTAAACAAAACAAAATGTTGCATATCTGGTCGCACCAATAACGTCACAACTCATTATCATCATCATTACATTAACAGACTAAAAGTCCACTGTTGGACACAAGCTTCTCCTTAGAAAGGAGGCTTTGGCCTACTATACCACGCTAGCGGAGCTAGACGGGTTGGTATAGGAGTTGTGTCAAATTTGCCTTCTCTTTGCAGTGCTGTTGCCCTGCATAGTTTGCTCCGTTAGTCTGCTCTTACGACATCCGCGGGATGAATAGGGGTGGTGACACTCCGTATTCTTAATCCGTCACCACACGGATGACGTAACAACTCAAAAGAGAACAGATGACGAACGTCTGAGCAACCGGATCATCTGATGGTAAGTGACAACCGCCGCTCATTGGCACATATAGCTTAAAAGACACAAGTGCATTACTGCCTTTAAGTGTTTCCGGACAGTTATTTCGTCATATCTCGAAATTTGAATTCTACACCGGAGACCAATAACTAGGCATGGAAATTATTGCTACTTTTAAATCATATTCATTTGATAAAATAATTGATTTTAGTCACAGCGATTTGAATCATTAAATTGCATTCAAATCAATCAAACTTCTTTTTATCAAAGATTAGGACTTAATTTATTATTAATATTAATTAACTACTACTTAATTTATTATTAATATTAATAAATAATAAATTAAGTAGTAGTGGTTTTGGAAATCAGTCACAGCTGTGATGATATGATTTATCACATGTGATTGAGATTTTATTCCATCCCTACCAATAACGGTTGAACTAGGGTATTAATAAGTATGTTTGTACTAACACGATATCAAGTACAAAATATATAAGAATCTACTTATCTATATTTTTAATAAAGTAATAAAACATTGCATTCACACCAGTTTATTTACAAAATTCAGTAAAATTTCACAAAATATATTTTCTTACATAGGCAATGATGTCTAGCGTACACTTATTTCTGTCAAATAATATAAAACAGACTATAATTCTCTACTTACTTCTAATATTACATTTTAATTTAGCAAATTTAAGCCTACTTTAACAAAGATATTTATAAAGTATCTTTTAATTTATGAAAATCTTTAAACACCTTTTTTACACAAATTAAAGCAAAATTCACAGTAAAATTTAATCATTTTCTTCACTGTTTCATAGTTATATGTTCACATAATAAAAAAGGTCAGAAAATAAACTCTTAAGTGGATTTGTCAGCTCGAATGTTACCAATTTCAGCATAAAGTTACATGAAAAAATATTCCCATAGAATGTTTGTCAGTCAGAGCCTTAGCATGTAATTAGACAATAACCTACTACAGTAAAGGTTTAAATTTTTTTTTAAAGTCAGCCCTAACGACTAAAAGATGAAACTTATCGCGTGTAATACAAAGGTGTAAAAGAAAAATAAGGAACGGACCGTGTCATTAAAATATCACTGACTTTCACTGTGTCACGACAAGCGCCACTGTACACGATACTTAACATTGAATTTTCCTTCGTCGCACAATTTAGCATGCAATCATTGTTATACGTATTCCCGTCACTGCCACACACTGGCTTTACCAAAGCTGGACAAACACATGGAGGTTCTAGAGCAGTCTTACAAAAACCCGCATACTCAACTGTCAAGAATTCATTAAACATTACTTTATGACAATTTAGTCCACACTCATTGCGATAAGTTTGACCGTCACTGCCACAAACTGGCGATTCTTCCATGGGGCAGAAACAGACTCTGCGTGAAGACACTTTCGGTGACTCGCAGGGACCGAATTTCGAAATAGTGATTTTCGTCTTGGAGGTGAAAGCAGCGCACTCGAGGAGGCACTCACTGTTGTACATCTTGCCATCTGAACCACACACTGGGGAGTAGTTCCTTCCACAAACACACGGGGGTAGCGCCAATGTGGAGCAAATGTGGGTACCGATGATTAGTAATACTTCTGTAACAAAAAATGATAGGTAATTGTCGTCCGAGACTTGTTTTTTGGATCAATCCAGAGGCGTCGAAACAGGATAAAGAAGACATTCCTTTACTTTTTAGAAAACTTTGCACATAGACATAATATGGAAATAGTAGTAAAATAAAATAGTGCGTAATAATATGGGCGTTTAGTTCTTCCGTGTATGTAATAAACTGTGACTGTGATATTAACTTTTACAAAAAGAAAGGGTTTTAGAAAATTGTAAACCTAATATTTTTTAGCTTTACGACGTCACTTTGAGATCTGTTCGACAAAACTAATGTAAATTAAAAAAAGTTAGCTTATTACAATGAAATCAATGACACCTTTTTCAATTTTTGCTAAACGATCAATATACGAGTACGTTTCAAATGTAAATAAGAAATAAAGTACTCACTAAGTTTACAATCCATGTTTCCTACTCAAGGTCCGAAAATACTCTGAAGGCTGTGTGATATGATATAATCGTTTATGTCTGGTTTTTTCTCTTTAGGGTTATCAAAGCAAAACAATTTTTAACATAAAAACACATTAGCTCTCCCCTCGTAAAGGATTGTTGTCTCCAAAGGAGGACAATGGCCTTTCACGTATCAAATGATGGCCGATAACATAGCTACGTTGCATTCCGAATGTAAAGAAATGTATTTCTTTTTGAAGTGAAACTTCTTGAGAATCGTTGTGATTTGTTGTGTTGTGAAAAATAAATAAACACATAAATGTATAGGATAAAGTCGGCGAGAGAATGAGATAGAATACATTACACATTATTTTTAATTAGGTTTATAATTTAGTAACAAGTTTTTTTTTTTTAATTTCAATAAAGAGTATTTACTGTAAGTTTGAAAACGTTACTAGCAAAAGCAACGAAGTTTCATAAAAAATTCCAACCCCATTTTGCACCCTTACGGGTGGAATTTAAAAAAGTCCTTTCTTAGCGCACACCGGCGTAGTGGTTTAAGCGGTCGCCACGCCGCTTCCTACTGCGCCAAGTGTTGTGGGTTCAAACCCAACATGGGACGACACTTTGTGTGATCCACAAATTATTGTTCTGAGTCTGGGTGTTCTTTGTGTCCGTTTCATGTATGTTTGTAAAGTCCCCCGCGACACAGGATATATTCCTAATGCGGGAGTTATCTTTCAAAAAAATAAAAAAATCGTGGGAATTTTCTTGTTTCTAGACCCAGCGTTTTCAGCTGTGCATTGATCGATCAGTCTGTCAGATGTTCTTCTTTTAGAGATAGTACTCTTTTTATTAGTATAAGACCAGAATCTTTATCTGGACAGTTTCAGGTTTAAAAAATAATTAGTTTTTACTCGGCTGCGCCAGAAAGAGGGTTCTATTTTTTCAAGTGTATGTATGTACATTTCTTTAGCATGCTCTGTAGCCTAATGGCTTAATGGTTTCGGTGTTTGAGGTGTCGTTAGATTCGTCTTAATTGTGAAAATGACGGGTATATGAAAGTTATATAAATTAACTAGCTGACCCGGCAAACGTTGTTTTGCCATATACATTATTTAAAAAAAAATCACAAAAAATAAAAAAAAAAAAAATAGTGTATGAAAAATAGATGCCGATTTTCAGACCTACCCAACATGCACACAAAATTTCGCGAAAATCGATTTTATATCGAGAATTTTATATATTAGATATCGCCGGTTTATAAATTTAAGCAAACACTTTTGCGCATTCCTCATTGTGTAACTAATAAGCTAATTAGTGAAAAAAACCCTCATTTTTTCACTAATTAGCTTATTAGTTACACAATGAGGTTTATAGGGTAACTTTTATGTGTTTAGTGGTTCGTTTTTGAACATTCGAAGGCAACCCTAGTTTTTCATCTTGATTTTTTAAATAAAACTGTTTTAACCTTGATTATAAATTGACCTTACAACTGACGTCGGTGCAGCCGGCTAAAATAATGACAAACGAATAATATATATACTCGTATTTATATCTAGAATTGCTATTGTCTGATACAGATTTAATCTGAAGGCGGTTGTGAAAATATAAATTCAAAGAAATGAAAATTTTGCAGTTTTAATATCAATATTCTGTTTATAGCGGTAACATGTTGTCCGTTCGAATATAGGTATTGTCATCAATCCAAAAATAAAGGTAATTATTTTTGATTTGGATTAAAAACTTAAAGCTTAAAAATTTTAAGCATGTTTTTCAAATAAAAAAGTCACGTGTTTGAATAAATTAGTAATAGTGTAGTTAAAATGATTAGTTGTAGTTTAACGGTGTCGGGCTTGACGTTTTTTATTCGGTTTATTTTGTGATTAAGTTAGAATTGGTTACTGGAATCTATACTAATATTATAAAGCCTTTGTTGGTTTGGTTTGGTTGAAAGCACTAATCTTAGAAACTACTAGTTCTTATTAAAAAATTGTTTTAGCCTTGGATAACAAACTTATGGAGAAAGATTATAGGCTATATAAAATCGCGCTGCGACTAATGCAAGCCGAGAAAAAAATGTTGCAAAAATGGGAACCATTTATTACTTTTAAGAGACCTGACGAAGCTGCGATACTCCTAAGAGTCGAACAGTAGGTTTTTTAAGTCCATAATGTAAACATCATCATCAACAGCCTTTAACACTTTTCCACTGCTCTCTCTGCTCTGCTCACTGACATAGGCCTTTCCTCAGAAAGGAGGTTTTGGCCTACTATTCCACGCTGGCTAGACGGGTTGGTTTTAAGTTTCCTTTTCTTTGCAGTGATGTTGTTCTGCCGACTTGGCTCAATTAGTCGGCTCCTACGATACCCAAAGGATGAATAGGGGTGGGGACACTCCGTATTCTTAATCCGTCACCACACGGGTGCTTTTACTTTACTAATAATGTAAATAGTGCCGAATAGGTATAGATCTTTTGACAAAAAGCTGAATGTGACAACATTCCGTTTATTAACCATAATTAAACACTGTTTTTTTTAATTTAGGAACCTTTGTGTATCCATTGATTTTATTATTGTTATAATAGGGCTGCAAATCGTATGCGTATAATCTAGTGCAGCGGACAATGGTTAACGATTATATAGTAATCGGGATATATCCCAATATTTTATTCGTATTTTAAAACTGTTCGCATATGCATAGCGACACGCTAGATGTGAAAGATTGTCTAAAAGGAGGTAGCACATATTTTACCGTTGTTATTTAAAAATGGAATAAAGCTAAATCTCTTACAAACAAACCTCAAACATATATTTATAAATTATCTATTCTAACAATTTCATTCATTAGTAGTAATTAGTAAGTTCTTTCTTTAAATGAAAAAAAGATAACTCACGCACTCCTAAAGTATCCGAGTCTCGCGGAGCTCTTTGTTAACATTGTATTCACTTTAAAATGCACCCAATGTCGGTACACTAACACTCTCAATCCAATCTTCACAGACCTACGAGTAGAACTTAGGAATGTAGACAGACTGTTGAAACGCTAAAGCACATATAAATCAATTTAACGCCAAATGTCAAATTGCCACTAAAACTGCTGATGTTAAATTGTCACATTTTATTGTTTAGTTTACAATGTCCCAATATGCAGTGAGTTCCAAGGTTATGCTGTGAAATCATACAGTAATTATCATAGCACGTCGTGATGCTGCGGCGGCGCCTTTTTTCGAACAATGGTGTTGATTTTGACGCGTTTAACTAAGGCAATTGTGTGAGAACTAGCGAGCCATTTCTGCATAGTCATATTAAAATTATAAAAAACTAGCTTTTGCCCATGGGTCCGCCGGCACGTATGTTGGTTATCGTGGTAAAAAGTAGGTCTATGTCATTCCTCAAGAACCAAAGTATCTTCGTGTCAAATGTCATTAAAACCGGTTCAACGGTTTAGCCGTGAAAGCATAACAGACAGACAGAGTTACTTTCGCATTTACAAAATTATTTGGGATTATAGACATATTTTTTTATCATTGCGACCTTCTTTAATGAGTCCATACAGGCCGCAGGGTAACTCGTGCGTAGTTGAAACACACGACAATTTGAAAAGAAACCTTTAAAATATATTTTATAGGCGTAGGTCCTGCGCCTATAATACAGCAAAATATTTGTCTTGTACTACAGAACAAGAGCACTTTTGTGTATTTACTTAATATTCATACTAAATATTCATTTTTAAAATAAATAAATTAATTTATACATTTTAAATTTCATTAATTTGTCAATGCTAAAATATTCCGTCATCGTCTGTGTGGTGGCGGATTGAAAATAGGGAGTGTAGGTGACACTCCGTATTCCAGCGGCGTGCACAGGATTATGACACTAGGTATGCGGCAGAGTAGTCGGTCACAAACACTTTTTCTTTTATAGATTTTTAGCTTAGCCACAGCCATGCGATGGATCTCTAAGTCGGAAACCATGTCAACAGAACAAGTCTTAGATGTACTACTATTCATGTACATCTTCAACGGGAACACTGACAAAACTGCGATAGATCGGCGATAGATCGCGGCGGAGGAAATTCTAATAAGTAAAATAATAAGCTAAAATATTATAACTACTCACCTGGTCATCTTCAAGTTTCTGATATTCACATATTCAAGTTTAAGGTTACTTGAGATTACTATATCCCAATGTAAATAAACGCAAGATTTCGGCCACCTCAAATATCTTATCCAAGTGAGTGATAGTTACAGACCTTTAGACACAATTTTAATCTTTTCACTGAATGACAATTGTGAGAACTTGTTATTTTTAATTTAAATTATACACAAATTTTCTACACATACCTCACAATCAAATAACATTTTAAAAAAATCAACGGAACTCAGTAATAAACTGTTAAATGTACACACTTTCAAATAAAACTATAATTATACTGGCGGAAAGAAAATAGTAAACAATGCTTATCACATTGAGTTAAAACAACACTACAGAAGCAAACCTCATTATCACACGTCGAAAAAAGTGTAACCACTTTTGAACTTTGACGACGTAGCTTTGATACCACGAAACATTTGAAAGTAAACATATTTATGTCTCATTTACACGCGAGACAAGAACAATACCATCGCTCGGATTAGACAAAGACAAAGACATAACTTTACGATGGTGGGCCAGTGTTGACTACCGTATGAAATTTACCCATAACAACCAAGAAACAATTTTTTTTAAAACAATTTTGTAATAAAATAAATAAAAATAAAATAATAATTAAAAAATAAAATTATTATTATTATTTAAATAATAATTTAAATATTTTAAATAATATATTTCGAATTGAATGGAATAGGTATAAATAATAAAATAACTAGAAATATTTGGTTAAAAGGGTTTATATTCAGTGTAAAATCAAACTCCGCTATGAAGCATCAGTTTTGTATACAATTGTCTTTTAGACTCTTTTTTTATAAGTTTGTGTGAATATTTTACTTTCATGATACAATCTTATTTTTACCTA